TAACTACACTAGACTACACTAGACTAGAGTGTGAGGTAGGTGGTAGGCCTCTTCCCAGAGCCCAGGATCGAGCCAGGCAGACTACACTACACTACACTACACGACACTAGACTAGAGTGTGAGGTAGGTGATAGGCCTCGTCCCAGAGCCTTGATGGAGCCAGGAAGACTACACTACATTACACTACACTAACTACACTAGACTACACTAGACTAGAGTGTGAGGTAGGTGATAGGCCTCGTCCCAGAGCCCTTGATGGAGCCAGGAAGACTACACTACATTACACTACACTAACTACACTAGACTACACTAGACTAGAGTGTGAGGTAGGTGATAGGCCTCGTCCCAGAGCCTTGATGGAGCCAGGAAGACTACACTACATTACACTACACTAACTACACTAGACTACACTAGACTAGAGTGTGAGGTAGGTGATAGGCCTCGTCCCAGAGCCTTGATGGAGCCAGGAAGACTACACTACATTACACTACACTAACTACACTAGACTACACTAGACTAGAGTGTGAGGTAGGTGGTAGGCCTCTTCCCAGGGCTTAGGATGGAGGCAGGCAGACTACACTACAGTATAGTAGACTAGACTACACTAGACTAGACTAGACTAGAGTGCGAGGTAAGTGGTAGGCTTCTCCCCAGAGCCCAGGATGGAGCCAGGCAGACTACACTAGACTACACTAGACTAGACTAGACTAGGCTAGAGCGTGAGGTACGTGGTAGGCCTCTTCCCAGAGCCCAGGATGGAGCCGGGCAGACTACACTACACTACCCTCACTACACTACACTACACTACACTAGAGTGTGAGGTAGGTGGTAGGCCTCTTCCCAGAGCCCAGGATGGAGCCGGGCAGACTACACTACACTACCCTCACTACACTACACTACACTACACTAGAGTGTGAGGTAGGTGGTAGGCCTCTTCCCAGAGCCCAGGATGGAGCCGGGCAGACTACACTACACTACCCTCACTACACTACACTACACTACACTAGAGTGTGAGGTAGGTGGTAGGCCTCTTCCCAGAGCCCAGGATGGAGCCGGGCAGACTACACTACACTACCCTCACTACACTACACTACACTACACTAGAGTGTGAGGTAGGTGGTAGGCCTCTTCCCAGAGCCCAGGATGGAGCCGGGCAGACTACACTACACTACCCTCACTACACTACACTACACTACACTAGAGTGTGAGGTAGGTGGTAGGCCTCTTCCCAGAGCCCAGGATGGAGCCGGGCAGACTACACTACACTACCCTCACTACACTACACTACACTACACTAGAGTGTGAGGTAGGTGGTAGGCCTCTTCCCAGAGCCCAGGATGGAGCCGGGCAGACTACACTACACTACCCTCACTACACTACACTACACTACACTAGAGTGTGAGGTAGGTGGTAGGCCTCTTCCCAGAGCCCAGGATGGAGCCGGGCAGACTACACTACACTACCCTCACTACACTACACTACACTACACTAGAGTGTGAGGTAGGTGGTAGGCCTCTTCCCAGAGCCCAGGATGGAGCCGGGCAGACTACACTACACTACCCTCACTACACTACACTACACTACACTAGAGTGTGAGGTAGGTGGTAGGCCTCTTCCCAGAGCCCAGGATGGAGCCGGGCAGACTACACTACACTACCCTCACTACACTACACTACACTACACTAGAGTGTGAGGTAGGTGGTAGGCCTCTTCCCAGAGCCCAGGATGGAGCCGGGCAGACTACACTACACTACCCTCACTACACTACACTACACTACACTAGAGTGTGAGGTAGGTGGTAGGCCTCTTCCCAGAGCCCAGGATGGAGCCGGGCAGACTACACTACACTACCCTCACTACACTACACTACACTACACTAGAGTGTGAGGTAGGTGGTAGGCCTCTTCCCAGAGCCCAGGATGGAGCCGGGCAGACTACACTACACTACCCTCACTACACTACACTACACTACACTAGAGTGTGAGGTAGGTGGTAGGCCTCTTCCCAGAGCCCAGGATGGAGCCGGGCAGACTACACTACACTACCCTCACTACACTACACTACACTACACTAGAGTGTGAGGTAGGTGGTAGGCCTCTTCCCAGAGCCCAGGATGGAGCCGGGCAGACTACACTACACTACCCTCACTACACTACACTACACTACACTAGAGTGTGAGGTAGGTGGTAGGCCTCTTCCCAGAGCCCAGGATGGAGCCGGGCAGACTACACTACACTACCCTCACTACACTACACTACACTACACTAGAGTGTGAGGTAGGTGGTAGGCCTCTTCCCAGAGCCCAGGATGGAGCCGGGCAGACTACACTACACTACCCTCACTACACTACACTACACTACACTAGAGTGTGAGGTAGGTGGTAGGCCTCTTCCCAGAGCCCAGGATGGAGCCGGGCAGACTACACTACACTACCCTCACTACACTACACTACACTACACTAGAGTGTGAGGTAGGTGGTAGGCCTCTTCCCAGAGCCCAGGATGGAGCCGGGCAGACTACACTACACTACCCTCACTACACTACACTACACTACACTAGAGTGTGAGGTAGGTGGTAGGCCTCTTCCCAGAGCCCAGGATGGAGCCGGGCAGACTACACTACACTACCCTCACTACACTACACTACACTACACTAGAGTGTGAGGTAGGTGGTAGGCCTCTTCCCAGAGCCCAGGATGGAGCCGGGCAGACTACACTACACTACCCTCACTACACTACACTACACTACACTAGAGTGTGAGGTAGGTGGTAGGCCTCTTCCCAGAGCCCAGGATGGAGCCGGGCAGACTACACTACACTACCCTCACTACACTACACTACACTACACTAGACTATACTACATAGAGGGTGAGGTAGGTTGTAGGCCTCTTCCCAGAGCCCAGGATGGAGCCAGGCAGACTACACTACACTACAATACACTGGAGTACAGTAGACTAGACTAGACTAGAGTGAGGTAGGTGGTAGGCCTCTTCCCAGAGCCCAGGATGGAGGCAGGCAGACTACACTACACTATACTACACTACACTATACTACAGTAGACTAGAGTGTGAGGTAGGTGGTAGGCCTCTTTCTTGAGCCCAGGATGGAGCCAGGAAGACTACACTAGACTACACTAGACTAGAGTGTGAGGTTGGTGGTAGGCCTCATCCCAGAGTCCAGGATGGAGCCAGTCAGACTACACTACACTACACTACACTACCCTATACTACACTAGACTAGAGTGTGAGGTAGGTGGTAGGCCTCTTCCCAGAGCCCAGGATGGAGCCAGGCCGACTGCACTACACTACACTACACTAACTACACTATACTACACTAGACTAGAGTGTGAGGTAGGTGGTAGGCCTCTTCCCAGAGCCCAGGATGGAGCCAGGCAGACTACACTACACTATAATTCAATACACTAGACCACACTAGACTAGACTAGACTAGACTAGACTAGAGTGTGAGGTAGGTGGTAGGCCTCCTCCTAGAGCCCAGAATGGAGCCAGGCAGACTACACTAGACCACACTACACTAGACTACACTAGACTAGACTAGACTAGGCTAGAGTGTGAGGTAGGTGGTAGGCCTCTTCCCAGAGCCCAGGATGGAACCAGGCAGACTACACTACACTACACTACTCTACACTACAATAGACTAGACTAAAGTGTGAGGTAGGTGGTAAGCCTCTTCCCAGAGCCCAGGATGGAGCCAGGCAGACTACACTACACTACACTACACTACACTAGAGTGTGAGGTAAGTTGTAGGCCTCTTCCCAGAACCCAGGATGGCGCAGGCAGACTACACTACACTTCCCTAGTGTGTGAGGTTGGTTGTAGGACTATTCCCACAGAGCCCACAACGGTGCATAGGCAGATTAGACTAGACTCGTCTATGGTAGACGATATTAGATCAGATTGTAATGTGATGTTGGGTGTGGTTTTCTATCTCCAGGTCTATCAATGAATGCAGTGCAGACTGTTCTATCCTGTCTCCAATTCCCTGCTCTTTTCTATAACCATGTATTGCTTTCCCATAGTGTCATCTAGCCACACACCTGCATTCCCAGCCCTCACAGGCCTGAAACACCTGGTATGGTTTAGTTGCACATTAATAGTGTTAGGTCAACACCAACCTTTGATTTTCTTTTCTCTGTTGTCGCTCCTCCGGTTACGTTCATATACATCCAGCGCCTTTGAGCTTGGGCATCACACTGTGTCCTTGACCTAGAGAGAACCAGGGAGCTGTCAGTTTACTGTGGTCACAGCCTCCACACCATCCGCCCTTTCAAGTGACCGGCTGTTGCTGCCTCACGTGCTGTCATGTATGGAGCTTTCCAGTTCCCC